GAGAAGGCAGTAGCTTTGCATTGCTGCTATGCCAGGTCATGCCAAAGTTGCGTTGTGCGAGCTTCAAGGTTGTGAGCTGTGTGAGCTGTGCGCAATGCGCTGTGCGTTGGTCGAATGAGCGAGACCGTGAGGGGGTTGTCAACGGCAGAAACCCAAGCTTGGGAAGCACTGCGCGAGAACCTTAGTACATGATACTTCGTAGTGAGTGTCTATGGTAAGCTGTAAAAGTGGGAAGAAGCAAGGAGGTAAGGTACGGAGTAGGCATTGCGCAAAAAGGCATGGGAAAGATTCTTATTGAAACTCGGGTGGATGCCTCCTAATTGTTTCTGCAATTGCCGACCTGTGTGCCTTGACTGTGATTTGGCACTTTGGTTTGAGTACTCTGTGCTTCATAACCGTTGTTTCGTTTTCTTCTTTCTTTGGAAAAAGACGGCGTGATCATGAACCTGTTATTTCTTCATTGGATCTGCATGCTACCGGTAGTCGGCTCAGAGAAGTGCCAGAAGCGAGGAGCCTCGAGGAATAGGTAGCAAGTACAGATACAGAAAACACGGGAAAAGAACCGATGAAGAATCCAAAATAAAGAAAATCCCCGATGGACGGTTCTGCTGATCGTTGATCACACGGAAGCCAAGCAGGAGACTGCTTTTCGACGGCGTTGTTGGGTTGACAAGTCGTTGGGTGCGAGGCAGGTACGAACTTCCCTCGTGTTGGTGCTGAGAAACAACGCAGGTACACAGTGCAGACCCGGCAGACCTCTCCTTAGGTAAGCGCTACCTAATCCCGGGCAAGGACAAGGTACGTATCTGCATATTCTCCTTGGACAGTAATATTCCGCCACACACTGTATGACTGTCTGCACGATTCTGTGACAAATACACAGTGGAGACAGTGCCCTGGTCAGTCACGTTCCTGGGGAAGCCCCAATCCACCCGTATCTCAACCAGTGACGTAGTTTTGCTCCGAGCGCGGACCAAACATGAGTTCAATCCTTTGTCAACTCAGGGGCAACAGCTGCTGCTTCAATCCGTAAATGGACGTAAAGCATCACGGCCAAAGCAGATGGGAAACGACAGGCAGAACATCGGACAAACAAAGCCTTACACCGTGTGCCGTTCAAGCTCTCGGGTCCGTTTTGGAGACGTGCTACAACCATCAACGGATTGCGACGATGGAGAGCCACCACCACCACCACCACCACCACCACTACGGTCTGCCGTACTTTACCACACACAGTAAGTTGACGATAACACCACCCCCGTCCCCTGTCCACTCCTCCCTTCCCCCTTCCCCCTCTCGCACTCCTCGTCCACTTCGTCCTCTTTCGTCTTGCTCCACACTAACCAGACACCCCAGCGAAACGTCCTCCCAATCATCCGCGCCAGAGCCGGACATCACAACCACACGCCTGGGGCTTCCCCACCACCAGCTTACCTCCTCCACCACCTTCTGACCAGATACAGGCCCCTCCTAGTGACCACTAATCACAGGACTTGTTCGCTGAGGCGGTCGGTCTGCCTGGCCTGAAGTTGACTGAGGAGGCGTTGGAGCAACGCGAACCCGATCAAACAGCTTTCCTTTCCGGCCCGGCCTACTGCGCTGTCCTTAGCACGGAACCAACAGTTTTCCCCTTCGCCGTCGGCCGTCTCTTAACAACACTCTTGCTCTCCAGACCTTCCGCTGACCGGCAATCCGCTGGAATCTGATAAAGTCCAGCTGTTGACCAGGATATCTGTCAGACGGTCAGTCCTGGGTCCGGCCTCGTCTCCGTCTCTCTCACGCCGTGCTAGGGGGCCGCCATTGCGATTCGGGACGGTCAGCTGGCCCCCTCCCCTCCTCCATCGGGCGCCATGCGGGCTTCTGCTCTGGGCAAGTCGGGTGGATTCTCGTGCCTCTGACGGAACGTCGTCCACCCCGTCATTATTGCGCTCCCCGACGCAGACCGTCGCTTATGCTGCCTCTGACCAGCCAGAATGGGATGCCTTTGCCACTTGACGCTATTGTTTCCTGGATGCCATCGCTCAGCCTGGGCTAGACATTGGTAACGCAGTCCCAAGATCGTTAGCGGAGATGCCCTCCAACATTAATCTACTCGCCAATGTCCGGAGATGGTCAAGCCACACCGCACGCGAGAAAGACACGACGCACGCTCTGCCCGAATCCTAGATATAGCCAACCTCGCCTTCATAGGCATTACCTAAGTTCAGCATGCAACTAGTGCGTCACTGGGCGCAGCTGTTCAAGTCTAGGCTTGGATGACCAGAGTTTCAGTCACCAAAATTGACGCTTTGCACGCACGCAAATATCTGTTCTCGGTTTCTACCGTTTACCTATGTCTTCGGTGTTTCCCCAACGTCGACGAGCCGCTCTTGTCTCAGGAAACAGAGACCACGAACCTGTTCTTGTGGCATCAACTTGGACTCTGGGATCTCCTGTAACACCAGCGGGCTTTGTGCCTCCAGACCAGCCTCCCGCCTACTTCTCCGCTTCACATCTTGATTCTTTGACAATCTCAAGCCCCTTCACCGGTTTTTACGCCCGCTATCATTGAAGGTGACCAACTGAACCAAAGGAACTACAATCAGTGTCTAGGAGACTAGAGAACACAACTAGTGAGACTTGACTACCATGAATTAGACGTCACTGAAAGTTGGCCCAAGCCGGTGCCAAACTGCCTAAGAGGTGAACTCTCAGAAGCGCTGGCCATGTTGTCGTTGCGCTGAGAGAAAGCGAGATGGAAGAAACATCGTTCAACGGTCCAACCAATGATCGACGGCAGCTAACAGTGTTGTGTAACACATGCAAAATGGTTTCCGAGTAGACTGAGTTGGCATGGTCTCCATATTCTACAACAGACACAGTACGGGGATGTCTTGTTGGTCGCCAACTGAAGAGGGCAACTGTTCATGGTCGCATTTCGACGTCAACTTCATCCGCGTCTGATTAATGCAAGAACCACGTTGGCATCAGCTCGTCGTGCCCTATGCCCACGATCCGTGATCGACAAAGGGTTCCCACCAGACGACCAGGTACGACTAAGCATTCTCCCAACATTGTCCCTCGACAAATCATAGGTTTCAAGCGCATCGGCGCACACTCCGATTACTCCGTTATTTTTTTCAGACTCTGAAGCTGGTTTGCGCAAAACAAAAGCACACTAAGGGCAACGCCCCAATGGCAACTCCACTGCGAAACTGTCAACGTGTTGTCGATCGCCAACTTTATCACACTCCGGCCTCTCACTGTTACAGGGCTGTCCTAGCACATCGAGCGGGTTGAAAGGGAGCCACCAGGCCAAATCGTCGATTGCTCCCAAAACTTCAGCAGCACGACAGTAAGGCAGTTGAGACAAGTGAGCCAGGGTCCTGCCCTGTTCCATTGCAGCTGCACCCCTCACTCTCTGAACAGTGCCATGCCATCCCGAAGCTGGTTTCTCCATGCATAAAAGCTCTCCCATCGAGGCAACAACCCCCGCCGATCGTCGCCGGCCGCACAATTTCACAAAACGGTTGTGCCGGCGGACGCTCTGGAAAGGCACAACCCTGCACACAAGGGAGATAAGGTTTACCAGGTGAGGTGACAGCTTCGCGGCCGACCTCGCGCCTTGAGAGAATCGAGACACGGAACAAGCAGATGCCTGTTCTCACGGGTCATAGGACTGAGCGTAAAAAAGGACAGAGTTATGCTGCGCCCCGTCTTACGGTCTTACGCGAGTATGGAAATTCGCCTTTTCCCTATCTTTCCACCAAGATACGGATGCCTGGGATTTATCACCTCAGCTCCTCTCGGAAACGGTCCAGCATGTTATCTGCTACGTTGTCATCCCCGCGCGCTGTCACGACGAGAACAGAAGAACAGCGGAGATACCTGTGGATGTCACTTTCACAAATGGACTAGGATGATCAGCGCGTCTGGCCAACTCGCCCCTCTTGCCGCAGCTGCACATCACCCCTCCAGTCTCCGTCGGATGCGTGTCGCTATCAAAAACCCTGTCCACGAGAGTGGATACCACACAGGTACACATTCGTACCGTCAAGTATCTCTCCCCAAGATAGAAATGGGGGCCTCTTTACCTATCATTGGGAAGACGTGTAAGGGACACCCACGACATCCCCAGGCAAAGCGTTCGTGGTTTTGCTTTTACAAGTCTGATTACCTGCGTACCTGCGTCAGCAAAGGCATTCCACGTGGGATGATGCTATTCCCTTGTGTTGGGCCTTTTTTCTCTTTGTATTAATAGAGAAGCGCCGAACCGTAGGGAAGGTTCATCGGGGATCGGGAGAAGGTTTTTGGTGCTGCCGCTCCCGTGCGTTCCGCTCCCCCTTCACACAAAGAGACTGGAGAGAGAGGGGGGTTGGACCCTTGGACTGCCTAAGGTGGTAGAGCTCACCGCGAGAGCTGCAATGGGAAAGTCTCGCAGCAGCCACCTTTCAGGAATAGCTGACAGCTTGGGATCTTGCAGAGCAGTCGTCTCGGTCCCGGAGATGAAGATGCGTCAAAGATGTCTTTGCTATTGTTGAAGACACGGAAGTCATGGGTCCTGGTCAACGTACCTGTCGATCTCTCTCTGAACCTGTCCGAAGCCGAGCAGAATTATCCCTTGACCGCAGCACATGGAAGATCCAGGATGAATGAAGGGCAGGATATGTCCGGATGCAGCGATCGACAAGCGAGTGCTGCGTTGCGTGAGCTGTTTTTGCCCTTGTTGAGCCGCACGCGTGTTGTCCCGAGGAGGAAATACATTGCCATAAAGGGAGCCATACGAGAAACATAAAAGCTATTCCCTCAAGACTCGGGGCAACCGGCGCACAGCAACCTGGTGTTCAGGAATGTCTACTGTCGATAAACTGGAATGAATTCCCGTCCCTCGGAAGCCCGACTGCGGACACTGATAAAGTGGCCCATCCCACGCAGCTTTGATTAACCCCGCGGCGCCACACTATGCAAGTGGCTAGCCGATAGGGAGTGCCAATTACACCAAAACCGAACGTCACTTTTTCTTATTGAATCATTTGCCCAAAGATACCAGGCAGCATTGTTGATCTCCTTGCCACCATTTTCGTCTTGTTCATTGCACGTTCTCGACCGTTTCGTTCCCGTTCTGTTGCGATAGTCGTCTTCCAGGTTGCTCTGAATTTTCTGTATCATTCAGCCAGAGATCAAGTCACATCGCGATCCCATTTCGCCCGTAGCACCAAGCTCGAGGATCACCCGTCGCAAAGACCATGTCCGATGTATTCCGTAAAGTAGGGAGAGGAGGCTCAGGGAACTTCTTTTCAAAGAAGGACGTGGACGATGCTGAAAAGGCCAATACAGAGGTAAACACCCGCAAGACCACACAGACCACCCTTCCCGTGGCAAGAGTCTGGTTAACCCAAACGCTCCACGGCAAATAGGATATTGAGGCCCAAAAGTCGACCGATGTCGCCGCTTCCTCGACATCACCGACCTCGACCGGCTACGTGCGCGCGGGACGAGGAGGCTCGGGCAACTACGTAGATCCAACCTCCCTGCCCGGCACCAAGCAGCAAGAGGAGCTCGCGAGCAAGACACAGGCGGCCGTGAATGCCAGCATTGCGCGGTCCGCGGCAAGGGGCGCTTCCGGCCGCGGCGGCGCCGGCAATTATACGGGGGGTGTCGTGCCTGGCGCCGAGGCGACCGAGGAGGAGGAGGTGAAGCGCAAGGAGGCGCTCGAGAAGAAGATTATTGAGGATGTCGAGGCCGGTCTGCCCATGCCGCCCAAGGCTTTTCACCATACTACCAAGAAGGAGGAAGAGGGTGCTTGAAGAGCATGACACTCCCGGATGGCGTGTACGTTGCCGGTGATGAGATTGCGCGATACCTGGAGTTAGGGTGGTTTCGTTTGTACAACATTTGAAAGGCATCGATACCCGCGACGCTCGTCTTGGGCGATTTCACTTGCATTTTTTTGAGAGCATGTAGGAGATTTGACAGTTTGTAAGCTTGCATTCGCCATGTCTATTCCGCTTGCATCTTTTCCTGAGAAAGGGGAATGCGATAAAAATGTGATGGCGCGCATTCTGTTTGCATGCCGTTATTCACTTCAAGCAGTTTCGAATATACTCGAGGTCGCGGAACGCATCCGGATGGCTATACCAGACAACGCGACCCATGAGGATACGGCATCCACAAGACGGGAGGAAAGGTGGCGGCTGAGATGACGGAGGAACCGATCTGAATCAATCTGGACCTTGGATAACTTTTTGTGGTATTCCTTCTCAGAGCCACCAAACGCCGTCGATGCTAAATAGCCCTTTTGTATCCCTGAACGCCCGTGTATAAAAACAAAGCTCCCTCAAAACCAACTCTTGTCTCTGCTGAAGGAGAGCGGAGAGAAGAGAGAGGCCCATTCTTCGATTAGCATTTTGTCTTTCTTTCTCTTCGGCCGCTTTTGTTGGCTTCTTTTTTCCCGTCGTCTCCTGTCCCTTGATTGAATGGGGGATCCCCTTCCTCCTTTTGGTCGGTTCGTTAAAAAAAAAAAAAAGACGTGACAAAAACGTCCCTCATCGTCGTCGTCACGCTCAGTCCTCCATGTCGACATCGCCATCCTCGTCATCGTCGTCCTCCTCTGCATCCTCGTCGTCCCACTCGCCGTCATCCTCCTGCATGACGCCGCCCTCGCGCTCCTCGACAACGTCGCCGTCGACAGTGACGCGCTGGCGAATCTTCTCGCGGCCGAAAACCTTGCCTGCCTTGCTCTTGGCCAAGCGGCCCTCGGCCTCGAGGGCAGCAATCTCCTCCTCGGTGGCGCCCTCGGCGGCGAGCCTCTTCTTCTCGGAGCCGCGCATGCGGGGCAGCAAGTGCTCGTTCTCGGCGACGAGCTTGCGGGCGGCGGCGATCTCGCGCTCGCGCTTTCCTTGCATGCGCTTCTTGTAAAAGACGCGCTCGCGGCGGGAGCGGATCTCGGAGACGCGCTCCATGGCCTTGAGCGTCTTGGCGACGAGGTCGCGGTCGTAGCGGACGGGGACGTTGCGCCGCGCGCCGAACTGGAGGGTGCTGTCGACCGTCATCTCCTTGTGCGCCGAGGCGCGGTAGGCCTTTGTCCACTTGAGCTTGCGGGGGTTGCGCTTCATCTTGAACTGTATTGCCAAGCGGCGGTTAGTCCATGGGCTGAGGGGAAGGGATGGTTGGGTTCTTCGCAAGAGTCGTTGAAGACGACTTAGAGACGTACGTTCTTGTGGCACTTGCTGCGGCAGAAACGGAACACCTTGGAGTCATTGCGGACAAAGGTGATGCCCTTGCTGGGGTAGGCAGGGCGACTGCAAAAGTAGCACGTCTCGATTCTAGAAGCATCACATAGTTAGAAAGCTTGCAAAAAACCAATGGAGCGAAAGTAAACCATGGATCAATGGTTTACTTGCAAGACAATGGAATAATAGACAAGAGCATACCTCATTGTGACGGCGTTGATACCTTCACGGGTATCACGGGAGTAGTCACACGGTTGTTGGGTTGTTGGTGTTGGTTTCGACGACTCTTCCAAACACACACACACACGGGGAGGGTTCAGAAGGCGGTGATCCAGACCTCTGCTCTCCAAAAGTTTTTTAGAAATTTTTCTTCTGCCGCTCCGAGGCACCACTTATCGATTGTGGTGGGGCTTGGGGGGACTGAGGTGGTTCTTCGCTGCGATAAGATTGCGGCGGGATTGGTGGAACCCGGGGGGGCTGCTGACATAATGCACCTGCAGCTTCTACTCTGCTGGACTTGTCGGAACCGGCCCAACAAGCCTTCCGGAAAAACGGCTCAGCACGGACCAAGACCGGCGCATCGCGGCTTGCTCTCTGAGCGGCGGCGACTGCAGCCCAAAAAAAAAAAGCTCTCTTCCGACTCCGAAGACCTTCTTCGCGATACCCCATCCGCCTTTTTCCGCAGTCATCCACCACCTTCCAACAACTTACCGACGACACGCAACACGAAACTCTAGCGACCATGGCTTCTGTTCTTGCTATCGGAGGCGGCGCTGCCGTCGCAGCTTTCTTGGTACGACAGAAGCAAAGCGCATTGATGGAAGAATTACGACTAACACAAGTGTTCCTACAGGGCCGAGCCGGTCTGGTTGCATGGCGCCGATCACGCGGCGGCGTAGGTGCTATGGGCAAGGCTTTCTACAAGGGCGGCTTCGAGCCCAAGATGAACAAGAAGGAGGCATGCCTCATTCTGTCCCTTCAGTAAGCCAACGAAACCCCCTCGGGCACGGAAACCTGGCGAAACAGTCGGAAGACAGTGTCAATCTGGAAAGGTCGGAAAGACGAGACAACGGCTAACATGATGCGTCTTAGGGAGAGCGGCGTCACTCGCGACAAGATCCGCAAGCAGCACCGTACCCTGATGCTCCTGAACCACCCCGATCGCGGCGGGAGCCCGTACCTCGCGACCAAGGTCAACGAGGCGAAGGAGCTGCTCGAGAAGACGACATCTTGACACTAGCCGTTCTCATTTCGGCGTCTGAAAAAAATGGAATGTAATAACAAGCACGAAAAAATACGAACGAAAACAAGATAACCTAGGACCAACGGACGGACGGACGGGCGGCGCCCCTTCCCTGCCCAAGTCCGAATCCGCGTGCCTACATGGTTTTGTAATAACAGATTGGTCGTTCTTCATAGCGGTGGCGTTTTATGGGCGACGATATGGGCCTTCTCAGAGGGGTCCTCAAAAAGAGGGGGTTCGCGTATGGCCGGGCTCGGATGGTCTGGTCTTTGGGTATCGGGGCCTGTTGTAACATTATGTTTAATGGCATGAGACCCTCTCGTCTCTCTTCTCTCCCATCTACCTTATGACATCACCGCATATGTCTTCATTCTGTGAGATGCATATGAACGAGCGCCCTTTGAAGCGAAAGAGCAGGTTGGAAGGGAAAGCATGCTGATGGACGTTATTATTCAGTGATAGTGCGTTGGGTGGAGACACTTCCGGTCAACCTAAGGTAGAGTGGATCGATTCGGGCTGTCTAGTCGTCGGGTTGTCTGTGAGACTGCTTTCACTAGGGAAAGTTTGGACACTAGGCTGCTGTTTGCGCTGATACAATGAGTTATCCGGTGCTGAGGTGAGTTTGTTGGACCGCGGCTGCTATGTAAGAAGTGTATGAATAACCTCAGTTTGATCCGATTGCGAAGTAGTTTTTGATCTGAATAATATCAATGCATACATCCATGGCCAACATTAGACAGCTGAGATGTTTTCATTTGTTTGCCGCTGGCAATTTTTACCACTTCAAGCCACCTTACAGCTTGACGACTGAAGCGTTTGGCCTCGCAAACGCTCGGGTTTTGACATACCTACTTGCGAGCAGAAGCTTGGCAGGCGTCCCGCTGAGGGAGCTCCAACTTGTTCAGCCTTCCTAGGGTGTCGTTGAAAGTTTTGTTTCTTCTTTCAGCCTACTTGTTTGACGTAACTAGACTTGATTTACGTTCTTAGATATGTCCGCAAAGTCTGATCATCTCACTCGTTCCCTAGCTAGGAACAATTCAGTGGAGAAAAAGAGCCGTTGCAGCTCTCAAGTCCTTCGCACTGGAAGCATGTGTCTCTGGAATGTCGATGCTGTCCCTCTCTCGACTCTTTTCAGTTATCAACCACATATGACTTGTCGAAGACGTCCACAGCGGCAGCAAAGTGATTTCAAAGACTCCTATTCTTCTCAACGCCCCTTATTGACAAGAGACTTGGCATGTTGAAGGAGTATCAGAAGAGCCCTCGTCATGTCAAATCACATCGTCCCATAAGACTCCGAATCTTGTTAAGCAACTGCCACCATAAATGCAAGCACGAAGGGCATGAAAGAATTCAGGTGTTCATATTCACAGTAAGAGTACTTGAATGAGGCTGGCAATGTAGTTTTGAAGGAGTTTTGTCAATGTGGTTTCTATAATTAACCTTCGTTTACTTCCCTTGCAGTTTTCACAATCTCCTGAGGCTGGATTTATTATCACATACTCCGCCTTAATATTCTCCTCACCTTGTTTGTTCCACCTTCTGACTGAGGATTCCTCTCATTAAAGTACCGTTAGGGAAGGCACCTCATGTCACTGCCTTTTTCTCTTTCTTTTTGATTTACGAGCCTTCTACCTTCAAAAGGGCGCCTCTACTGGGAAACTTCCCTTCTACTTTCACATTCAACTTAAATTCGTCAACCCAACCATTCCCCGTCAACCACACATCCACAAGGTTTCACTCATACATACTGATCAAATCAAACGGCCTCTTTTTGGCCGATCCAGACACTTTGTTTCGTCTTTCACAATTTCATCTTCCGCTCACCTTGCGCATCCACATACTCCGGTATTCTTTACACCTTCCGCACGCTCACTCCACAATGGCCGTCACCCAGGCTGAACAGCTTGATCGTCTGTTCGGGACCTTCGGCGATGAAATCTTTTTCGAGGAGGGCGCTTCTCAAGAACTCGAAGATACTCCGGAGGAGATTGTCTTGGACCCTCTCCTTCTCGATCGCCAAATTGCAGCCAGGAAAGCAGCAATCCAGGTAAAATCCGTCACCAAGCCAGTCGAGAAGAAAGCTCCTCACTACATCGGACCACCCCTTGAGCCTTCCAAGTCTGAGAAGTTGGCTCCTGCGGATTTCAACGCCCTAATGAAGCAGGATTTCCCCGAGTTCAAGGGGATGAAGACGGGCGACCTCTCGGCGGAGAACATGACTTTCGTTTCGTGGGATGTCGTCCAGAGATACCCTCTCAACTTCATCGGCAAGACCAATCGACCGAAGGTGAGCGCCTCACGCCGCTTAGACGCCTCATCTCTCTAGCTGACGTCGAATATAGGCAACTCCCTTCTTCGATGACATTGCCGAGGAGCACACTTGGGACTTGTGAGTGGTCATCAAGAATCAAACAGGCTCTTATCAAGCGAGAGAAATTAACGTCTTTCTAGCTTTTACGTCTACCACCCCAAGGCCTTGGATCAGTCGCCCTACATCTTCGTTCCGACCATTCAATTCCAGCACTTCCTGGACGTCGTCAATGCCTCTATCCAGACGAAGCTGACCATCCCTGCTGGTAAGCCAGGCGAGATGTTCTACCTCGTGTTCGGCTCCAGCTGCACCATCCGGCCCAAGTACATCGCCCGCTCCGCCTCGCACAACGAGTACCGCGCCCTCGACGACGCGATTCCGCTTCCCGAGGATGACGACGCGTGCGACGATGCCACTGTCTTCGGAATGGAGACGCTCATGAATCTGCTTAACATGCACGCCAACTTCAAGGACATCAAGACCAAGAGTAAGAAGAAGAAGCAGAACAAGGCGCTGAACCGGGCCGAATCCCTCTACGATGCGCAGCTGTACCTCGGTCTTCGGCCCAAGGCTAGCGATGTCGATGAGAAGAACAAGAAGGTCGAGCTGGATAAACCGGTCCCCCATGCGCTGGAGCAGAATGTGGTCTTTGTGTGCATCGACATTGAAGTCGCCGAGGAGCATCACGGAACCGTATTGGAGATTGGCATCTCGACCCTGGACACCAATGACCTCGTTGGCGTTCTGCCTGGCCAGAACGGCAGCAACTGGGTTCCATTTATCAAGAACCGCCATCTCGTGACCTACGAATACCGTCACATCCGCAACCGCAAGTACATCAAGGGTTGTCCTGAGCTCTTCAATTTTGGGTAAGCCATGCACTACCACCATCTCAGAAGTACCACAGACTGACCGTGCATAGCAAGAGTGAGTACCCCAAGCTCAACGACCTCCCTGACAAAGTCCACGCCGCCGTCAGCGACCTCTCCTTCGACAATAAAGAGGACGCCGCCGACAAAGACAAGCGCCCCCGCACCATCGTCCTCCTCGGCCACGACCTCGGAGCCGATCTCGGGTACCTGGACAAGATGGGTGTGGAGCTCTGGGGCATCAGCGGCGTCGCGAGCCGTACCCTCGACTCCAAGGACATGCACCAGGCCTGGCGCGGCGAGTCGCAGGGCCGCAGCCTGGGTATGGTGCTGACTGACCTGGGCATCGAGCACAGCAACCTCCACAATGCGGGCAACGATGCGGCGTATACCATGCAGGCGATGCTCGGTGTGGCTATCACGGAGAGAGTTGACAAGGACCAGGGTCACACTGAGAAGGAGCAGGTTGAGGCGAAGTGAAGTTGCTTGGATCGGCATGTGGAGTAGCAATCTTCTTCTACGCATTCCCATAAGCACGTTTCGAGGATGGATGGATAGATGGGCGTGGACAGGAATTAGCCTTTTGCTCATTCGGGGCATACAATAGATACCCCCTGGACTATCACGATTTTACCAAACGCCCGCTGTGATTTAACCTCATCACTTATTTCGACTTCAAAAACTGTAATTCAAGTTAGCAAAAACGATCACTGAAACGTATCAAACCATCCAAGAAAGAAAGACAGAACAAACCTCATCAGCCTCTTCACTCTTGACATTCGAAACCTCCGACGTCCCCTGATCGATCAACCCCAACCGCGACGTCCTCACCCGCCACCACATCTCCCTCCGATCGCCGCCCAGCTCGCCAGAGAGCATCTTCTTCTTGAGGTCCCTGATCAGGTCATTATACACGCCTGGCTCCTCGAGCTCGACGAGCCCGCGGCGGAGGACGCTCAGGTTCTCGGACGCGCGGGCGTAGTTGTTGTCGCCGAAGCTGTCCGTCACGAGCTGCGCGACAACGGCGGCCATTTGCTTTGCGGCGTCGCGGATCTCGGACTCGTCTTCCGCGGTGGCGAGGGCGCGCTTGAGGTCCGGGATGGCGTTTTCGGGGGTGATTTTGGGGCGTTTGGAGGCGGACTTGGATGTTGTTCCCAGGAGGGCGTCGACGTCTAGGCCCGAGAGCGGTTTTGCGGCTTCGAACTTGCGTTTTCCCTTTGCTTTTGGGGGTACTGGATTGTCGAGGTTTGTGTTAGCGGGGCCGCGCCCTGGAAGTACAGGAGAGAGAGAGAGAGAGAGAGAGAGGGTTGGGGCAGACGGCAAAAGGGTTGGTCTTTACCTTTCTTTACTTGTGCTGCTGAGATGAGACCCTCGATTTGGGATTTTGATTTCTCGACTAGGTCTTCTGGGGGCGCAGCGTAGCGCACTAGGATGGGAGGGATCGGGTCGATCTCGCCTTCTGGGTTGACTGCCCTTTGGCGGATGGCTTGGTTGATTCTGTGGATGATTGGGTTGTACGTGTCGTCTATCGCAGCGTACTCTGACGGGTTTCTTGAACCGAGGGAGGTCAGTAGATGTTGAAATTGGAATTGCATGCTAGGAGGTAATTGTACCCATCGTCATCAGTGCCAAAGGTCCCCAGATCCATAGAGTCAACGTAGTCGCTCATGGCATCTGTGAGCTCGTCACCGGGGAGCAAGCGGTGATTCGTCGTGATCTTCTGTCCGCTGACGGTGATGACCTTATCAAGTGGCGGGAACTGGTACCCGCGAACATCCTCCGCGAAGGGGAGGGGCACGTCGTAGAGG